TTTGTTTCGATGAAGCCATAATGCGCGAAGTACACAACATCTCACAATAGTAAAGATTACATAAAATGCGTAAGTTCCATAGTGTTGTATAGTAGTATGTTGAAGACGAATAGAGTGGAAGAAGACAATCATAGACCAGTCAGAAGCTCCAATAATGAATTTGTTAAAAGGTCGAAGAAAGACTTCTTATTGATGTATTGCCACTCTACAAGCCCAAAAAAGTTGCTGGGCATCTTCAAGATTTGTGCATCCATGTACACATGTATTGCTTGATATGACTTCAGTTCTCCATCGAAACTTGTATCAAAATCCTAATGCATTGTGTTGAAGACAAAACTTATGATCGGAGCAAACTGGTAGGACATGGCGATCCAATCTGTACTCAAAACGCCATATGTCGTCCGTTAGAGGTAAGCCCGCAATCTGAAGCTTGTCAACTTGGAGCTTTGGAAGCGGTGTACCCAACTTAGTCTTCAACAATAGTTTAACCAAGTCCCTGTTTGACATGTCTATGACAATTTTGTCCTCAAACTCCAGACATTCAACGTGAATGGGGCGAGTTGGCCCATATGTAGGTCCATGTGGGGGGCATATCAAGTCAAGTCGCGAAATTGTCTCGGACACTGATCGTGTTTTCGACGCAGGTCTGGCGAATTGATCAACCTGAAGTAGACTGTTTAGTAGATCTTGTGTTACAAAGCATCCATAGCGTTCCACAAAGTCTTGAAGGCGGGTGAACCCTAATGCCTTCAGTAACCAATAGTGCTTTTACTGACCTCGGCCAATGGGGTTTTAGCCTTGCCAAACGTAAAGTAGACATTGTACCATAACGGAATGACTTGCACAAACCATTTCCAGTTCGTGGAGTCGTGTGTAGTGTGGAGTTCCGCCCATACACGTAGAGTAGATTTCCCATAGTCAGGTAGTTTATTCCATTGCTCTCCCTTCATATGTGCATATAAAATATCAAAGCCTGTACCAACGGAGCCTAATTTTCTTGTGAAGAGTTGCAGAGCCGGAGTAAACCACCGGGGTACAATACTCAATTCACAAGTCGAGGCAATTCCATCCTTTAATGTCTTAAGATGCATAGCTTGGATATTAGCTTTGACAGGTGTCAATCCTAATCCACCCTTCGAAACACATGCATAAATCCATTCTTTTGCGAATTCTTCGGCAACCGCGGAGTCACTATCCGTATCCGTAGAGTGAACAAAGTTGCAGGTAATGACGTCCACAGTTTTCAGAAGATTCGGTGTATTAGACGTCACGCTGACTGTGTACCAAAGCAGTGGTAAAATGATGCTTTGTAATAGCACGACTTTGCCCCGTAATGTACGTGCACGGTACTTCCAGATGGCGCATCTTCTTCGTACTTTACTTACTACGTTGCTTAGGTGTCACAGTTGCACCCTGAAGTACTCCTAATAGTACCACAGTGTCCGACGGTTTCAACACTTTGAGATTTGTTGAAGCACGTAGTCTGGCCAATTTGGACAAATCGACTTGGTGCGTAAGCGGCATGACGCACGTTTTATTCATATTTAGGTGTAGTCCTGATGCTAACGCGTAATCTTGTACCACGTTTATGAATTCAGGTGCGTGATCAATATCGGCTAGTAGACCAGTGCAGTCATCGGCAAACGCCAGTAGCAAATGTGGGGATGGCTCATTGTCGATATCCCACCCTCGCACCGAAACTCGAGCGCGTAAAAAATTCATGAGTGGTTCGATGAACAACACGAACAGTTCCGGAGATAGTGGGCGCCCTGTCGTACCCCGGCACCCAGCAAAAACGGGTCTCCTGGTGAGTTGTTCAAGAGCAAACTAATAGAAGTCAGGTTGTAAAGTGTTTTGATCCAGGCTCGAAATGTCGTACCAAATCCAAAGTTATGCAGTACCATGTCCAACGCTGGCCATCTCACGCTATCGAAAGCCTTAGCAGAATCTATAAGAACTGCACAAGCGTCCGGGTAAGTGTGCTTGCATAATTCTTGTAAGTCTTGGAAGCGAATAAGAGAGTGGTGAATAGATCTGTTAGGTACAAACCCACTTTGATCTTCATTAATCAGCGAAGGCGGCACAAACCCCAGCCTCCGCGCCAGAATCTTAGGACCAAGCTGAGCATCATGATTCAGCAGCGTCAGTGGACGGTAGTTTCCAGGCTGCGATCTATCTCCACACTTGTATAGCAGCGAAAGGTGCGCCCGTCGTTGAAACTTAGTCATCTTTCCTTCGATAACTGATTATCGTGGCTAACTACGTATATGCGTGCCCATAGACTTGGCGAAATCTTGTAGTACTCGATAGGTAATCCGTCGGAGCCCGGCGCTTTTCCATTGGTGGATTTCATGATCTCCCAGTATAAGTCGTTTGCAGTAATGGGCGCATCGAGCAGACGTTGTTGAGCTGTCGCAAGTTTAGCCACTGCTTGACGTAGCATTCGCGCTAATCGAAGTGTCTGATATGAAGTGTTCCGTAGATGCTAAAGATCCGGCGAAGTTGATTGGAATAGCTGCCTTCAAAACCTGCGGTGTACCGTCTCGATTTCAACAGGGTCCGCACTCCTCGACCCATCGTCGCTTTGAATTTCGGTGATGGGAGCCCTGATACAGTCTTGTTTTGGTGGCCGAAAGAAGTGTTTTGTTGCTCGCTCACTAAATTGTGTGTCGGCTGCAAATTTGCTCATTGCGTTCCTTTCTTAAATCGTCTTCTTGTATGCACTAAGATCCGCTTGTGCTTGTTGAAATGCTGACTTGTTGTAGTCTATCGGAGCCAGGTTGAAGAGGTCGATGGCATCGCTCACTGCAGTGACTCTAATGGCCATTTCATGCGCATCACCTTGTCGAAGTTCAACCTACTGACTCCGAAGATA